CATATTCAAGGAAGCGTAAATTGGCACGACCTCTGATTCTCAATCCCTTTCTCTCTGCGGGTTTATGGCTTTCAATTATTTTCTTTTTCCTCTGTTGTTTAAAGTGATGTTTCATTAAGGGTCTGTCGTTTCCACTGCCAAAGCTTCTGTGCTGGAGTTTCTTTTTTCATTTGAGTCAAAATAAATCACATTACAAACGCTGAATGGAAATGACACATGCAATGAACTTTCCTTGGTATTAGAAAAATAGTTTCTCTGCTGCTGCGGGAAAGTGTTGTTTCTGAAGAAACTATGCGATACTGGTGGAAACATACTTTAAATGACATATAGTACATTTGTCAGTTAAATATATGGCTAATTGCAGGTCCCAGGAGTATCCTTTATAACCTTGACGTTATTTAAATGCATGCAAATTAATGAATGAAGCTATTTTACTTCAACCAAAGAGGTTATGATTTCCATTTCGGGTTTGTTTGTTTGTTTGGCTGTATGTTACAAATGCTACATGAAATACTGCCCAATGTTCACGAAACTTGGTGGAATGGGTGAAGAATTGGCTAAGGAGAAAATGAGTGTTTGGAAGCGGACACACACATAATTTTCTTCACCAATGGAAACAGCCTGGGCAGAGGTCTTCCTGCTGCCATTCTAGTTTATTTGTTTGTGTTCGGGTTATAGGAGAAACAACACTTGTTCGAGGATAGAAATCCAATTGAGAGAAGAGGTGAAATATTTTCTTTCCTGAACTACAAATCAGCTGCAAACTATTTCTAAAATTAGCGTTATATATAAAAATATATTTTATTTCCCTATATATTTGATCATCTATTGTCTTTTCATTTTCTAGTCTATTGTCTGTTTGCTCTTGTTTTAATTTGTCACATTAGCATTTGTACTTTTCTAGAGCAATTGCAGCTGCATGTTGTGTATGAAAATGCCATGTACATTCAAATATAGTACTATTATTTGTAATGTTTTATGATTCTTTAAATTAATATTTAAGAAACACATTTATTTGACACAAAAGGGGTAACAACAGATTCCCTTATATGATACTTTTTTCAAATATGTATGTCTTCATGATCATTCTTATCTAATACTCACAATTTGTTGTCAATGATCTGTTGTCATGTTTGCTTCTCCGTCTCTCCGCCCCGTCTTGCTCCACCCTCTCGTGTGTCTGGCTCTCTTTCACCTCCCATCTGATCCTCCCTCCGAGACAACATTGACTTCTGTGTACTTGGAGCTTGTATCTATTTGCATGACTCAGTCTGAGGGTGATTTCTACCCGTGTTTCTTATTGTCTTTGTACGCACTGCTGTCATTAATTATGAAGTCCCAAATGGATTTCCTATACACTCCGTGTCACACGCATTAGTACAAATGAAGACAGTGTGTGCCTTCCTCTGTAAGGGCCTTTTTGTACAAATTGAGTCAGACCTAACAAGAGAGCTCATCCTCTTTCTACCCCTATGTATAGACTACGTGTGTGTGTGTGTGTGTGTGTGTGTGTGTGTGTGTGTGTGTGTGTGTGTGTGTGTGTGGGTGTGTGTGTGTGTGTGTGTGTGTGTGTGTGTGTGTGTGTGTGTGGTGTGTGTGTGTGTGTGTGTGTGTGGTGTGTGTGTGTTGCATGCTCTTTTGGCCAAGTGGGACAACCTGTCAATCAAACTGGATACGAGATTTGTCAGTGAAACAAGGCACTTTCCAAGACAGGCAGATGATGTGTGTGTGTGTTGAATGATCTGTGTATATATGTTTGTGTGTACGTTTTTGCTTGCAAATCTACATAACTGTAATTGATGTTAAGTAACTTATGACATACTGTATATTGAGGTGTGGGTTGTGTGTGTGAGTGTGCATTCGGCAGCTGATTCTTATAGCAAGAAAAATATAAGAAAGTGACAGACACCCCCTCCTCACACACACAATTATGCCCAAAGATAGACCTGACAGCTCTCTTTCTTCTACGGGTAATATGTATTCCTCCCTCTCTCCATATCTCTTATTCCCTTAAGTGTTGCCCTTTCACTGTTTTCTTTCTTTCCTTTTGAATGCTCTCTTCAATTCTGCTTTTAGGCATAGCGCAAAAAATATAAAAATAGATAAGGAGGTGTAATCAGTAAGACAGCTTAGGTTAAAACAAAAAACTTAGTATCATATAAACACAAGGATGTCTGTAGAAAAAAGTTGCATTACATTTTTAAATGCGGCAAGGATGATATGACACGAAAGCGAGTTAGCATATTAGCACGGCAGGTATATCCTTGTTTCAAAGTATATCATGTTTTTAGATTGGGTTATACATTTGATAAAAATAAAGTCAGTCCTTAACACAAGGTTCAAATATTTTAACTTTTGTCAGTAAATAGTACATTTCTAAATGTTGAAGATTGTACGTCTCTTAAAGATAGCGATGCTAACAGGTGGCTAAATGTGGTTAACCTGTTAAGCCTTGAGCCTGTTTTTCAGGTCTCAGGCTCGAAAATGACATTCCCAGAACAAATGACCATATCTTCCCTTCTAAAAGGGTTAAATTAATAATCTTTTTTCTCAAAGTAATGACAAACCTGTGAGTTGGATGTAGAAAAGTCAGAATCAATATAGATGTTTTTTATTTTAAAGAAAATTCAGATTTTACATAGTAAAAAACTGTAAATTATAGTGTCCGTCCAAAAATTATTTTTTACTTATAGTGAAAACCACCCTTGGATGATGGGTTAGTAGACTAAAAGCTTTAGGAATCCAAAGTACAACATATAATAAGTACCCTGTATCAAGATTGATGCAAAACAAGTGACATTTGACCTTTTTAGAGAGATTAAGCAAAAAGAAACCACTTCTGGGGTCATTTGGGTGGATTTTCCATATCTCTGGCCACCCTTGCTCGATTTTGATGGTTGACACCTCTTTCTGACCGTTAGAGCCAATAGAATCGAAGGGGGAGTCCCCCACACACACACGTTGTGAAGAGAAAAGGTGGGGGCTTCGCGCATGTAATTTTGCATCAGAGTGGACCTATCTCTAGCTTTGACATCTGGAAACGGAAAGCAGTTTTAATGCTTATGGATTATCAGAAATCATTTCAAAGGGACACAGACACATTAGATTAACCTATGGATTAACTTCAGCAGCGTTTTTATCATTTTAATGCCATTGAAGACCACTTTGGAGAGACTACAGAGCCAAGGTAAAAATGTTAGCATTTTTAGCTACCTAGCGTCACCTGTTTTGATGTCCGTTTTTGCTTATAACGTCGCAAATACGTATAATTCAGTGGTAATGTCGGTGTCAATAGATTCTGTGTCACCTCACGATGTGAATCAATGTGTTGGATGTGGTGAAAAGATAAATAATAAGGTTTTGTGAGTGATTTTCGGTGCAGTAAGGTGTTAGCATTTTTCGCTCGTTGCTAATTCAGAGGCTCAGTGTTAGCATTGTGGGCTAGATGAGTTTCTTCCCGCTACATGGATATAAAACATTCATAGTTTTATTAAATGAACATGCCCTCAGACACTGTTTCCTGCAAGATGTTGCGGCAGTACCCCGGTACCGGAGTCTCTCGGGCTTAACAGGTTAATAAACGTGGCCGTGTAGCGAAATGTTAGCTTTTTTCTTCTGACAATTGAAATAAAGCTTTAAATCATAAAAGTGGTGTACATCTATGCGGAATAACTTGCTAAATATAACAAACTTCTCAGTTGACAAGCTTATTAGCTGCATAAATATGAAATCCAATGGAAAAATGCCATTGGCTTTCTGTCAAGTGTTCCAGGCTGAATTGTCAAGTTTTGGGTTGGACTGCAGTGCATGTCCCTGAGGCACTCTCATATTTAAACAAATGTTAGTATACAAATAAAATAATGCATATAAAACCCTTTTAAATGTATTCATTGATTCAGTAAATAACTTTTTACGATTATTTGAGGAAGAAGTAGTAGGGGTTTCATTTCCCAGTGCTTTACCCCGCACTCTTTCCCATCTAGCATCAATTGTTATTCCTCCTGACTTTCATTCTCAATCCGTCTGTTTCCGTTTGCTTTCATTCCTTTTTCAATTTTCTCAATTTCATCCAGTCTTTATTCACTTCTCCATCTTCTGTTTGTCTTTCCATCTCCCTCGTTCACCTACCTTCTGTGCTGCCTTCACCTAATCCCTAAGGACAACATTCCTATTTCCTAAGCCATTTCTGCTCTGTTTGTGCATGTCTGTGTGTGCTTGTGTGTGTGTAGGACCCTCGTGACAGTGATGTGCGTCACTGGGGAATCTTTCTTTGGGTCAGCTGACTCAAAACAACCCGAACTCATTGGCTAATGACCAAGGCCATTATTCACTAAAAAGTCAAGTGACAAATTGACTCCCCTGTTAAACACACACGCGGTTTAATTTATAGTCATGCATCTTGTGTGAACTCTGAGAAGAGCCATCACCGCATTATGTTGGTCTTTTTCCGCTTCTTTTTTTCACCCTCCATTGAAACACTCATGATCATCCATTGACCTGACTGGCTTCTTTGTTGGTAATGTGTCCAAAATATTAGCACCTTGCAGCAATGGATGACAAGCTAATTTGTTCTGCTATTGTGTGGCTGTTTGTATGCCTGGAGAAGTGAATTCCCCCAAGGCTTTCTCACAGTTACATTTCCACTTTTCTGCAACACCTTTGACCTCACAGTGAGTAACCAGCAACTGGCTAAATGACAGAGCTAAATCACACAGAAACACACTTTACATCTTACCCTAATGACCCATGGACGACTAGATCACCCATGGAAGACTAAATCACAGAAAACAACCATGAAAGACAAATAAAAACAAGTTTAAGATAATATTTTGCACAATTTGAACACAAAGAAGGTGACATTTCTGAATTGAGGGTTATAAGAGCAGCAAAGTTTGATAAAAAGAGGAGCATAGAACAATATGTCAGCCACTTTTTGAGAAAAGGTCACAGCGAACAAAAAGAGTAGGCCTGAACAGTATAATAAAGAAGAAGGTACTCACCGAGCTGACTGCGCCTCTGAGCGTAGGCTACCACCACCGCGGCCAGAACTACACAGCACAACGATGTCACAAGGTTTGCCATCTGTAGACACACACAGAGCAAAGTCATCAGGGTCAGCGCGTGCGAGAGTCGGTGAGCGAGTGTGTCCGCCTGACGTCCTGATTGACAGACAGACCCATAGACGCCTACACCAGCATGGAGGAGATGGAGAGATAGCTGCTTTCTGTCCTCTCTCTGTATCTCTCCTTTCACCGTTATGATCCCTTCTGTGGCCTCTTTGCTATTCCTTCTCCTGCCAACTCGTCAAACTCCCTTATTTCTTTACTTTTTCTCTCACTGTTGTTATCCTCTACACTGTATAACCTCTCTCTCTCTTTCTCCTTCTGTTTATGTGTCTCTTCCTTTCTGTTCATCAGCCTAATGGGTCCATCCTCTCTGGGATGGGCTCTGGCCAGCAGCTCTTAAAGGTATAGCACACTGTAAACAAACACAGATTTCAAGTAGAACAACATGCCGTCAACTCATTGTTGCCTTCCCTGAAAACACGTTTATAACCTGAAAATGTTATTTTTAAGTAGGAAGTGCGTGTTTATTAAGGGTTAGGTAAGACATAGGAGGAGAAAGGTGTTTCATTTTTCATCGTACTTGTGTCTCTTCTTGAGATCCTTCTTCCTTTACTTTCTTGCATTTGTTCCTTATTCAATTTTAAAAGGAATAGTTCAACATGTTGGCAAATACATGTGTTTGCTTTATTTTGGTCCAGCATTTTGTGAAACATCTATTGTGCTTCCTTGTTGAGATGAGTAAACAGATGCAACTCCAACGTCTCTGTTGTGAATATGACACAATTGCTAGCCAGCTGGCGGACCTACTGCATCTTAGCAACACAACTGGTTAGCCATGCTCTGTGTTTAGCTAACTAAATCCACTTTACAACTGAGCCAAAGCTTACTTACTAACTCCTAATATGTCATTTGTTTGATCCGCACAACAAGCACATTTAAAAAAATAAAATTAAGTAGCATTTATTTGGCTTTAAATGCCACACTTTGTGTTGGTCCAAACCAGTTTCAAGACAACCAGCAGTAAGCTTCATATCTAGCAGAACAGATATCAATGGTGCATCCCTATCCCACTCAACTCTTGGCATGAAGGCTATTACGCACATTTCCCACACATTCAACTTTTCTTAAATATTGAAATTATGAAGTTTGTTAGCTAGTACATCTGTGTAGCATGTTGTTCTAATGGAGAGGTGACTAGATACCGTTTGTGAGCACAGCAAAACACTGATTAACAAGCTTATTAACGGTGATTAACAAGCTTCAGACTCGATTGAAAAACAAACATTTTTAACTACTCGCTTCCACTAGAAGGTCAGCTACGACATAAGTGCACCATGGGAGCTCAAAGTGATTGACCATCGTGTCCAAGGACACTTCAGTAGTGCGGATGCCTGCCAACAAAGGTGCTTGAACCCAGATCCTTCCATTAAAGTCTGGCCTCTGCTTCATCTCCTCCACTCTGTAAGAGAGCCAGCTGTCTCTCCTTTACCCGACAAAGGTTGTCTTAGGGTCTGCTCGCTGCTGAGTAAGGTGTGTGTGTCTGCATGCGAATAGTGAGCGCTTCCAAACAGAGGCGAAGAGGGGAAAGTGAATTTCCTTGTTCTTTTGAAGCAAGTCTCCAGCTGTTATAAACCGCTGTCATCTCCCATTACCTCTTGCTCTTTGTTTAGCTTCACAGTTAGCTTTTTTCTGTGTTCCTTTGACTATTTTCCACTTTTCTTCTGCCATATCACACTCTTCCTCACTCTGTATCCTTGTGTCTCTTTCCCTAAGATGATGTTCTGCACATCTCTATTTGTAATGGTTGAACAAGAATACACCATGTTTAAACAACTCGGGAAGATAGGAACATATCTGGAAATATTACAGAGACACGTTCAAGAACATTAAAAAGCTTTTACAGTACCACTGACATGTCAAAAGGCAATAAAACTCAGAGATATTTAAGAACTAGAGAATGGACGACAAATCAAATCATGTTTTAAAAAAAGTATAAAAAAATCAAGCTCTTGTACATTTTTTATTTGTTAAACAATTCTGGGGTTTTCAAGTAACATAAATTGAGTATGTCACACAAACGTCCATTTGTCTTACAGACATTTAGATATTTGTTCTGTCTTATTGACAAGACACCAGTATTTGAGAGACAGAAGTATCACCCAGCAGAGGTATAAATATAAACCATAGATACTGATACAGTTTGTGCATTCTTCAGTCAGCTGTTATATCACAGTATGTTCAGTTTACCTGGAAAACAATATATGTAAATGTACCGGTGGGAGAGAAACTCCCTCTGGAGGGAACTTTGGGATTTCAGCCTTTGCAGACCAATTAAATGCTCAAATACCTAAAGTATATAACACACTTCAGGAAAGGGAAAACCAGAAAAAAGCATAATAGGGGCCCTTTAACCTGAAATGTAAAACTGCTCCAGAATTAAATATCAAGTGGCGTTAATTGGCATTTACTGATTCTGAAACGCTAGATTATATCGGATATATTTGTATTATATTATATATTATTTATATTTTTAGCACAACAACAAAGCATTTTAAGAAGCAAACTATCTCTGAGGCTTAAAAATCAACAATAGAGACTTTGTATTCCACATCTCAGTTTTTATGGGTCTGATTGTTCGTACTGGGGAACTCTTTCAAGGGAAGAAAGTATTTGTTGACTTTATAATATATTAAAGAGTGTGTTTGCACCTGTGATTCAAAAGTTTGCATGCGTGCATGTGATTGAGAGATAGACTGAGTGTGTGCGCGCTTGTGTTTCTATTTGTTTGAGTGAGTGATTGGCAGCTCATATGTATTTCATCTGAGCAGATATTGAGGAGAGTGACAGGGGGTGAAATTAAAATTGCATCCCTTGTCAGAGCCTCACAATCCCCATCTCTGCTCTTCAAGTGCTGGTTTCAAAATCCAAATAATGTGTGTGTTTGCATGCATTTTGGATTCTCTGGGTGTGTGTGTGTGTTGGTGTGCTTGAAACTGTGGGGGTGTTTAGCCCGTCTATCAGCAGACAATACAGTTTTGATATGTGACAGCTTCAGATCGCTCATATAATGACAGCCCACAGGCGGTTAGCGCTGCAATCACACAAACTCAATATGAACCCTCCTCCCTGTTTCCACCCATTTGATCCTTTCTTTTTCTTCTCCTCCTTCTTCTTCCATATTTATTTATTCATTTCTTCGTGAAGGGGGGAAAGGGCTGAATAGGCGTGATTCTTTTTGGCTGCTTAATTAAAATATATAATTCATCGCTGCGTCAAATGATTTGTGCCTCCGCGTCTTTTGTGGAGTCCGATTTGGGAACATTTGCATTTAAATTGGAAAGCCAGGAGGGAAATACACTAGGCGGACCTGGGTGCATGTCGGTGTGTGAGAGAAAATAAAAGGCATCCTTCCTTCTCTTAAGGAAATGCACACTCCTTATTTTGGTCTACAATGGTGCACAATCACAAGGTTACATGGGTTTGGCCAAATGGCACAAGAGAACATCCAGTAATGGAAACTTGGACATTTTACCCTTGAAATAACAACTGTGTGTCCACTTATATGTTTAATGGGTACATTTCCTTTTAAGTCCATTCTCCCAAAAACAAAACGGCCACATTCCCCTGTGACGGCAGTGTCTTAAATAGAAAATGTCTGGAGAGAAAAAATAGAAAAAGGATCTTCTTGAGTAATAAATTAGCTTTGATTTAAAGCTAGAGTGGAGTTTGTACATCCTTTGGGAACATTAACAATAGCTTTTAAATATACAATAGAAGCTAACAATAGATGACTCATTTAAGTGCAATGTAAACAATGCATCTTAAATGTTGTTGAGGATGCCAACAGCAGGAAACTGTGTGGGCAGAGCTTTGTTTCAAAGTGAGATACCCATCATGTAAAAAAATGACTCCTGCTTAATATATATACACTTTATTTAACTTTGAAAGGTTAGGGAACTATCTTATTCAGTTAGCCTTTTTACTGAATTGAGATTTATGGACAGGCAGTTATATAGCGAGACAGTGGTGCATTATCCTGCTGGGACGTAATTGGAGGTCGCCTGTTTTTATGATACGGAAAGCAGTGTGCCTGGCACCATCGAGCACGTTACAAGTCTGTCAAATCACACCTTTCTCCGCCTGCTTGCTCTGTGTACTGGCTCACAGCGGCACTACCCACCATCTGGAGGAATGGGCCGTGCATACATATAAACAGGAAATAGTTCCCTAATATGGCAGGCAAGGAGGGTACAAAACAGGCAGTCACACACGATTCCAGAAGCTTAAACATAGAGCGTCCTCAAGGAGTAGACTCTTTAAATTCGAAAGTGTTTAAAAGACACGCAGAATCATGCCACTGTGATGCAACACGATGGAGAATAATCAGGAAAACTTGCCAAGGACAAGGAGGAAGGGCGAATAACTCTCTTTCAGGGAAATGTCACCATAATGAAAAGTAGAACCTTGAAAGTTTAAAGTAAGGCATCCTGTCCAGGGGGTAATCCTACATCAAAAGGATCCTCTGCGCAGATAGAAGACCCCTGTTCGGTGCAACACTCGATGAACTGACTCACTTTAGACATGTTCGTCCTACCTGGGGGCAATGATACACATGCAATGCTTTTTACTAAGGAAATGAAGATAAGCAATTTTGTCAGATAGTTTTCTTTCCAGTTTCAGTTAACAGTAAGACCTCCTTCTAAAGTAGACTGTGCCTATCAATATATTTTTTTTAAAAGGTAATTTGTGGTCCGCAACTTCTTAACAGTACTACATAGATTTTCACATAATTCACATTTCATATTTAATTGACACAAGTAGAAGTGAAAAAAAAAGAAAATAATATGGATATATTGTATAGAAATAGTGAAAAGAGTGTCTAGTTTGTTTTTATTTTTCTTAAAATGTTTTGGCACAATTTAATGTACAACAGGTGTCATCAAAATATTTAAAAAAGTATATGGTTAATAAGCAGTAGGTGGGAAATGGAATGAAGTACAATTTCCTTTTTGGATA